AGAGCAGAGATGAGAGGTAGAGAGAGTAAGCGGGATTCCAGACAAGGCACACGGTACCGACGGCGAGCACAGAGCAGCAGGTTCTTCGAACACTCAAGGATCAGAGACTCTACGAGAAGGCATGACTACCAGAACCAGAAGCGTGGAGTACAGAGATGCTGGGGTTTTGATTGGAAGATCTATAATCAAGCAACTCCTTTTTACTTCACAAACTTCCCGGAGGATTGGTCTTACGAACAGATGTGGAGAACCTTCTTGAAGTATGGTAGAGTGTATGCAATATACAGCCCAAGGAGGACAAACAAAGAAGGAAAGAGATTTGGCTTTGTTAGGTTCCTTGAAGTGAAGAATGTCAACATGCTAGAGAAACAGCTAGATCAAATTAGAATCGGTGATCACAAGCTCAGGGTTAATTGCCCACGTTTCTCAGAGGCAGAGAAGAGCACCCGAAAACCAATCGTTCAGTCGAAGATAGCAAGCGAGAAGAAGAGAAGCTATGCAGATGTGGTGAGGAACCAGGGCGGAGATTGTAAGCAACAAAACCCAAGTGACAATGGACAAGCCAAACAGATTTGGAAAGCCAAAGGAAACGTCACTGGGTGGACAGGGATCGATTTCAACCCAGCGAAGGAGGACTGGGAGTGGCTAGAAGGAACCTATGTAGGAACAGCAAGATCTGTGGAAATAGTTCCAATCATTCAAGAAAGATTTTACATGGAGGGACTATTCTCTGTGAAGCTAAGAGCAATGGGGGGCAAACTTGTTTTGCTGGATGGAGATGACAAAGATGACCTCAAGGATTTGATGGAATCAGCAGCAGATTGGCTCAAACAATGGTTCGATGACATTCGCCCCTGGACTCCAAATAGGGTAGCCAGCGAGAGATTTGTGTGGCTAAAGGTGAGTGGCGTCCCTCTCCATGCATGGGGCCCAAACTTTTTCAACACCATTGCAACCTTATGGGGCAGATTCATTTCTTTGGACGAAAGCACCAGTTTAAAAAAGAGATTAGATGTTGCAAGAGTGCTCATCTCCACTACAGATATGGGCTCCATTTCAAAAGTTCTACATATCAAGGTAAATGGCGAACCGTTCTGCATCCGCTGCAAAGAAGAGGAGTTTTCAAACGGCCACTTCAACCTCAAATCAGATCACAAACCATCATCCCCTTCATGCTCCGAGGAGGACGATCTGGAACACTGGACTTCAGACAGTCCGTTTGAGGTGGAATTTTCAGATGATAATATGAGGCTCCGGTGCAACATAGACGGAGAGGTAGGAGATGAAGATGACGTGGCCATGAGCAGGATTCAAAATACTAAAGAGACGTTGGAGAAAGAAGAAAAAAAGGGCGGCCGACTGACAAAGGACATAATAGTGGAAAACAAAACCACTTTGGAGACAAAAGGTTCCCAAGATCCGAATGTGAACGAGGAGTCAGAAGGAGAGATTGCAGACTCACAGCAGGCGCCGGAAAACAATAAATGTGATGAGATGGTGAACAGTGCAACTCGGGAAAGGGAACCAGGAGCGTCTTGCCCCACAAAAAATAGCTTTGAAGTTTTGGGCCAAGGCGAAACCCAACAACAAGAAAATGAAGGAAAGCCCAAGACAGACCAGATCCAAACCCACAGTGGTCAAAAAGAAAAGGTGATAGTGGATGAGGGGCCTCTCAACATAAGCCCCGATGGTCAAACAGAATTACAAACAACAAACCCAGAAAAGGAATCTGCAGATGGGAAACTCTGTGAAATGTCTTTTTGGCAGGGGTTTGAGAGCGAGTCTGGCTCTATCAAAAACTGGATGGGAAGAAACCTTCGGCAAAGCACACGAAAAAGAAGGAATCAAAAGAAGAAAAGCAGATCTTGTTTGTCAATCTACAAGTCATCCCCAATGCTTGCAGAAGATGGGATCAAGAAGCAGGCCGGCAAGCTCAAATCGAAGAATCTCCGAAAAGAAGGGTTACCAAGTTTTCTCCCAGATCCAGAGAAACCAATAGCAGGAGAATCTATCTCGGATAGCGCCATTGCCAATTGCAACAGAAGCAACTCGAGACGGAATTTAATCTCTGAAATTTGGCAGTTTGCTCAACAAGTTGGGATGGAGGCTCTCGAAAATGAGGAGGAAATCATACAACAGATCACAAACATGGAATCCAGAGATAAAGAGGCAAAGGAAAAATTGAAAGAGAGAAGACGAGCCAGCAAGCTGAAGGTCAGTAGAAAGTGCCCATGATTTTACTTTCTTTTAATGTAAGAGGGCTGGGGGGAATGGGTAAGAAGAAAGAGGTTCGAGAAGTGGTAAGGAAGGAGAGAGTTGAGTTCTTAGCAATTCAGGAATCAAAAATGGAGGTTGTAGATCGAGCCACATGCAAACAATTATGGGGCTCGGATGATTTTGATTTTTGTATGAAAGCATCAAATGGTAATTCTGGAGGCTTGCTATGCATCTGGGACAATAAATTATTGAAGAATTGTAGTCAGATAGAAGGGGAAAATTTTGTTGGCGTTTCTGGAAATTGGGGTGAGAAAATGCTGCCTGTATATCTGATAAATGTGTATGCTCCATGCGATGCTGTTGTTAGAAGATGCATGTGGGATGAATTAAAAGCACTAATCTATGGCAGAAGTGGAAATTGGTGCTTAATGGGCGACTTTAACTGCACTAGGAAACTAAATGAAAGAGCTGGAGCAAATGGCGCTTCTAGAGGAATGAGGGATTTTGATAATTTTGTAAGAGAGACAGAGCTGGTAGATTTACCCTTAATAGGGAGGAAATACACATGGTACCATCCCAGTGGAAACTCTATGAGCAGGCTTGACAGATTCCTATTATCTGAAGGATGGCTAGAAAATTGGAGTGAGGTAAAACAGTGGGGACTTATGAGAACAGTCTCAGACCATTGTCCTATCATCTTAAAGGAGCAAAAACCTGATTGGGGCCCTAAACCTTTCAAGCTTTTCAACAATTGGGTAAACCATCCAGATTTTACTAAGGTTGTATCAGAGGTTTGGAAGTCAACAAAGCCAGAAGGCTGGAAGGGCTATTGTTTGAAAGAGAAACTAAAGGCAACAAAAAATAGAATCAAAGAATGGAGTTGCAAGGAATTTAATCTACTAGAGCTCAAAATCAAGGAGGCAAAAGAGGGCATTGAAGAACTGGACAAAAGAGCAGAACAAACACAATTGACAGACCTGGAGATAACCACACGAAAACAACTATTTTATGATCTATGGGATGGCTTGAAGATTAAAGAAGGTATGAGTAGACAAAAGGCAAGAAAAGAATGGCTCAGAAATGGAGATGCAAACACCCAATTTTTCCACAAATGCATAAGAAACAGACAGAGGAAACAGGAGATCAACTGCATTGAAATAAATGGCTGCCATCAGAACAGTGTGCAGGGAATTAAGGACGGGATAGCCAAGCACTTCGAAGAGCTATACAGAGAAGAGGATTGGGCACGACCCGTTTTAAATGGCATCAACTTTAAGCAAATCTCAACTGCCCAAGCCAATCTACTTACATCTCCATTCTCTGAGGAGGAGATCAAAAAAGCAGTATGGGATTGTGGGTGCTCTAAAGCTCCAGGACTAGATGGATTCAATTTCCTTTTTTTCAGGCGCATGTGGGAAGTAATTAAGAAGGATGTTGTCGATTTTGTTCAAGAATTTCACAAAAATGGGAGATTAGTAGCTGGGTCAAATGCCTCATTCATCACCCTCATTCCGAAGGTCTGCAATCCACAGAAAATCGAAGAGTATAGACCAATCTCATTAATAGGAGCCATGTACAAAATCATTGCTAAGCTTCTCGCGAATTGACTCAGCTTGGTGATTCCTTATGTCATCGGGAAACAACAAATGGCCTTCATTGAAGGTAGGCAATTAAGTGAAGGAGTAATAATTGCCAACGAAATTATAGATGATGCCAAAAAGCGGAAGAGAGAGTGTTTCTTGTTCAAAATAGATTTCGAGAAGGCATTTGATAAAGTCAGCTGGCGCTTCTTGGACTACATGCTCATGAGAATGGGATTTGGAGATATTTGGAGAGGATGGATCAGGGAATGCCTGCAAACCAGCATGGTATCGATCCTAGTCAATGGTAGCCCCACAAGGCAATTCAAGGTCAGTAAAGGCTTGAGACAAGGCGACCCCCTTTCACCATTTTTGTTTTTGATAATAGCAGAGGCACTAAATGGAATCATTACAAAGGCAACTGAACTAAGTCTGTTTGAGGGTGTGGAAGTAGCACAAAATGGTGTCCATTGTTCACATATCCAATTCGCAGATGACGCTTTGATCTTCGGAAAAGCATCAGAAAGCAATGTTTGGGCAGCAAAGTGTATAATGAGAACATTTGAGCTAGCAACTGGACTGAAGATAAACTATTCAAAAAGCCAACTCATGGGGGTTAACGTAGAAGAAGACTGGATGGAAAAAATGGCCTGCCTCTTGAACTGCAAGATTGGGTGTATGCCATTCAAATACCTGGGGGTCCCTGTTGGAGGTAATCATAGAAGAATGGAATTGTGGAAACCCTTGATTGATACCTTCTCAAAGAAATTGACTACTTGGAAAGGTCAGCAGCTCTCTCTGGGTGGCAGAATCACTTTGCTTAACTCTGTGCTCTCGTCCCTGCCAGTGTTTCTCCTGTCTGTCTACTTGGCTCCCAAAGGTATTATCAAGACTATTGATAAAATTAGAAAAAAATTTCTGTGGGGAGGGTGTGAAGAGTCTAAGAAA